CGTAAGCAGTACGCGTGTTGCTGAGTTCGACCTCCTCTCGGAGAACCTCGATAGTGGATGTTTAACTTGTGCTTACTCACTTTGATTTTCATTTAAACACTTTCTTTATCACATTGTGTCCTAAATGTGATATCTCGATGTAAATTCTGTAAAAACGGATTTTTTAATACTTTCTTCCCCCTTTCACATACATTCTATTTTGAAACTCGCCCCAGTCCTCTCTCAAAAATCGGAGAAAATGCGTTTGGTGCGCACTTTCTGCAGCTCTACCGCAAAAACGAGTACGGTGACCCCCATTTTTTATTTCATGATTTTAATAAGGACAGTGCTTCCTTTCGATGAGAAAAAAATTGGCACAAATCTATGTTCAGTTTTTTGGCAATTTTACTAAATTGTACGGATTGAGCCATCACGGGTCGAAAAGCGCGCGTCCAATTTAATTCTACTTTGGAGCGTAAAGTAAAAACAAGGGCATTAAAAGGCATTTTTCTGGTACGTAAGTGGATAAACAATACATTAAAGTCAAATTCTGTGTGATGTCACATGCATCATCGAAAAAATCTCTCCTTTTTGTCTAGTTTTGCGCTGCCCGCGGTTTTTGTAAAAGGGTCCTAAATAGCCGTATTTGTCAGCATTGTGACGTCAAAACGAGCACGGTGACCCCCACTTTTTATTACTTTTTTATCATCTTCTTGACTTGTTACATCAGTGTACCAAGTTTTAGCTAAAATCTATGTTAGGTTCTTTTACTATGGAATCACCTTAAGAATATTAAGAAGGAGTAAGCGTAAGTTCAATCTCTTTTGTATGAAATAAGACGTCGTTCAAGTGACAAGTAATACACACGATTGTATTAGGCCATTTTTGGATTGTGCATGACACGGGTCTGGTATTGTGTCAAATTGCACTGTGGGATTGTTGTGGGGACGAATTTTTGACCCAGTTTCCCTCGCAGCAGCCAACGGAAATGGCGACGGCGTTCCCAAATTTATCCCATAGTGCACTACGATACACCTCCGCCCGGACTCACGCGCAACTTCAAAATGGCCTTCCCTAGTCCCTAGGCCTCATTATTTTCGGGTCACGTGAAACCATGGACACATCACCGAGGTGAATTTACCTCGAGAAGGCCTGGGAAAACGCCGCACATGAATTAGGCAAAAAATGGCCAACGAAAAACATGACCATAACGGGAATCTCGTCAAATACAGTCGTAGCTGTCGCCAACGGCGCTCTTACTCTTTAGAACGTGGGAAGTGGCCGTGATAAGGAGTAAGAGGTGTGATGTGACACCATTTGTGGGAAAGGGTAGAACATTTACTTTTGAAAATGCTTGTGGTAGTGTGTTAAACCTAACACTATCGAAATATATCAGTGAATGATTTCATGAGGAGGTGGAACATGATGGTCCGGGTTATTGTAGTCTTGAATAGGACTGTTGTTGACATTTGACACACCTTTTGACAGCCTATGCGTTTGTCCTTTTCAACGTCAAAGTATGTATCTATAAAACATAGGCCTTTGCCGTTGTGGAGAGATGATCTTCAAAAAAGGGTTGACTGTTTGTATAATAATATGAATTAATAAAGAAAGACGATGGGTAAATAAGAAAGACTAAGTGGGCACTAAATTATAATTTAACCGCATCAAGAGGAAGTATGATATGTTTTCTAAACAATGAAATTATGTACGTAATGAATACATTGCTATTAAAGAATTTTTTCACACCTTTGTCTGCTTAGAATGTAAACGAAAGAAAAATATCTCGTAAACGCAAACTGACGTTGTTTTTTTGCCCTATGAAACTGTCCCATTCGTCAGTTTTTGTTTTGTTTTGTTTTGCTTGTTTTTTTTTTCGTTTTTTACGGACTGTCTGACCTATTGTTGGTTTTCTCATGACGTCACTAAAATTAAAACTTCAGATCTACCGATCCTACTGAGATTTTAGTTTTCATGACATATCAGAGTAACTAAAAATAACTTTCATACAAAGTTTCGCTTCGAAAGGGTTCTTGGTTTGTGATAGAGTACGCTTGAATTTCTAAGCTCTTGCGTGACGGGGTAATTACATGACGGCCGAGAGAGCTGTCACGTAGGTTAAAAAGTGAGATGTTTCTGGAAAATTTTGCTATCAGAACAGTTCATGTTTTTGCAAAAGTATTACTTTAATGTTTATGAGTTACGTGAGGGATAAATTCCCACTTTTATTTTGTAGCAAAACTCGGTAACAAATGTTTCAGTTGGTCTCCTTCCGCCATGTTGGTGCCCATCTGGATGAGCATCTGCATAGCGTCTCTTGGCGAGGGTCTTTGCATATTTACTTCCTTTAATTTACCAGATTCTGGACTTTATCTGTTGAACAGTTTTGATTTTTATTTGACCTATTTTGAATGGCGTGACACTGAAAACCAGCGATTGTCTCCTGTGCAACAACCGTTTTCGTATCTGTCACGCAACGCGCCTCTCCACGGCCTTGCGTGACCATCTTTCCTATGGAACCACTGCACTATCCTCTCTTGGTTACAGCTAATAATGTCCAGCTTCTTAACATTAACAGAGGGCAGGAGCATGGGCTCCTGCAGAGGGCTGTGGTTCTTGAATGAGCAGAGTCTCCTTAATTTACAGTGAAAATCCGTGTTGCCGGACTCTAAATGATATGATCCCAATTTAGAAATATTAGACCTATTGCCCTTCAGAATTGTGGCCTTAGCTTTTGTCACTTATTTACAAAACGATAGCGTAGGTGATCTGCAGTTTCTATGGGAACGGTAAAAACCCGAAGTGGGACTGCAAAAAAGGGGGACTGAGAACGAGAAAGGAAGATCATGAAAATGAGGCAGGCGGGCCGCCATGTTGAAAAGTTGAACATGGGGAAAAGAAAGGAAATAAGCGAAGACGATACAAGAGGTTAGTTTACATAAAAAATGTCGCTTTTTTCTTTCTTTAAACCGCGTGATAAAAAGATCAACTACCTGATTTTTGTTACACGTGGTAGTTAACTTATTTAACGCGGTGTGCTTCTACTTTTAAGTGAGGTTTTTTGGATATGATTAAGGCTTGAATATTAGCTCAATACCGATACTTCATAGCATTCTAACTCCCTACCTGGATTTTGTTTCAAGAAAGGACTGTAAACACCTTCTTGTTTTAAAACATATTCACCGAGGACTACCGATTTCGTCGATTTCTTTACAATAGTATCATGAGTTCCAAGAAGAAGATGTTGGTTGTCACACAATCTGAACAATAGATCGTTTTCACTGTCACGCAGCAAATAAATAAATTGGAAACCGTCCTGTGGAAGAAGCCAAGAAAATGAAATGTTATAAAAGACTAATATATAAACGATTTGTCCAAGTCTCAGGTCTTTGTGACCCACAGTTTCTGAGTTATTTGCTGAAACGTTTTGCGCACCTTTGTAGAAGCTTTGTATGGAGACGCCATATTAGTGTACCATTTTGGTCCACCCATATGGCCGCCGGAAATCAGCAAAACATCTGGAGTTCACTTTTTCTATAAAAGCTCTTTCTTGTGACTCGAGAACTAGCATATGTGCGCATAAACATATCTTCTAATACTTGAAATTGTTATATTGCTGAAAATCAAGAGGAGAGACCTTTTTTCAACGAGACAGCATTCCTATTTTGGTGTCACGCACTGTGAAAACTTGGAAGTTCAAACCGCTGTATTTTTGAAAGGAAACATGCTATGGTAAAGGAAACTCGTAGAAAGATTTATTTTTTGTTTATCTTCAACCTAGAGTTAATAAGAATTCGTAAAACCGTGCTATTTTGACTTTACAACTTGATGATGTCACTGTGAAAACCATCTATTCCGGTGCAAGTTTGGATTAAAAAAAAATTATTACTTTGTTTTTAAAACTACCAAGCTGAACTTGCACTTGTGTTCTACATAGGTAACTTCTTATTTTGCATTCGATATGATATATAGCTCACAAGGTGCGCTACTGTACATGTCATAGGCTTCCCCTAGAGGAAGGACCTGAGGCCAATCAGAGGGATAGTGATAATGGGCAGAGCAGAGTTGCAAATTTCTCCCAATGGGAATTTAAGAGGACAAAGTCCCCTGGTTCAAGTGTGTCTCAATAAAAATTATCCCCCTGATTTCTTCCTTATATAACTGGATTCGTTTGATTGAGGGGACTTTTTATCATAGTCTGTGTAGCTGGTGCAATGTGTCGCATACAACTGTAAATGAAGATGAAAAAATTTTTTGATATTCCCCCACCCCTTACAAGAAGACATTTTCTAGCTGTGGCATTTAAGAAATGGACAGTGTTTGGGTTTGACACACACTGTTCTGTAAGTTATGAAATATTATACAGGGTTGTCACTAAGATTTCAAGTTGCTAGCTGTATATGTTTTACAGGTCAAATTTGATTTCAGGTTAATTTTCATTTAACCTAGGTTGATTCTCAATTTCTAATGTCTCCTAGCCCTAGAAAACAAAGGAGATTACGAATCAACAAATGTTTATAAAAATTTAAGCTGAAGTCAAATTTGATTAATATCCATGTGTTGATATCGTTGCTCCTCCATTGGCGAATCAGCAAAAATTGTTGACATAGTGCAGCAGCCAAAGACATGAAAATATCTTGTCTTCCTTGGGATTCATCACTTAACCATTCATGACCTCGATGAAATTATTTCCATGGGCAAATAAAGAAATCTAGAAAATATAAACAAGCAATTACTAAAAATTCAGGCCTCATTTATCAGCTGCTTGCTATCCGGAAATTTACTTGAAGGGCTTTCCTCTTTTGTAAATCACAAATGCATTGAAATAACACATTTTTCTTGTAAAAAGGCTTACCCACCCTAATTCCCAGGTGTCATTTTTATTTTCTTTACTTCATTTATTTTCAAACTGTATTCCCCGTATTCTCTTCCCATTCTGAGGCCAGCACTTACTTTCAAATTGAAACTACTCTTACCAAAAAGTATTACAACAGGCCTTTTTATGTTTATGAATTTTGATAGAATCATCGTCAACTTCACCTAAAAAGAAACATAAGCGCAAGCACAAAAAGCACAAGAAGAAGAAGGATCATGGCCCTGAGGGATATGATGAAGAGCGCAAAAAGGAGAAGAGCAAGGATAAAAGCAAATCTCGGGAAAAAGAAAAGGATGTTGACAAAAGTGGTGGAAGAGCTGTAAAACTTAAAATCAAGCTTAGGGGTGAAACTGTGGCAACAACACAGTGAGTTACCTTCCTTTTTTCTGTGTTTTTTTTAAATTTGTTTTTCATATTTAATTCCTCATTTATCACACTGTTATAAGCTAAAGATAGTAGCAGCTATGACTCTGTATTGTATTTTCAAGGATTAATAATGTTAGCAAAGAAAAGAAGAAGAGATGAAGTCTATCTTCTCATTGTTTCCAATTGATGGAAATCGATGATCGGAAAACCAATCAATCAATAATATTAATATCAATCGATAAAATGAGTTAATTGGTATCAATTGGTATTGGTCGGTATCGGTCAATCGATGATCAATCGATAACCACACAAAAACAGTTCATCGATTGGCACAATTCCGACCCAGTCTTCTCAATGCAAAGAGTATACCCCATTGCTCGTGTACTTGAATTACCCACTTGCCTCGGCATTTCCAGTCAATGGAAATCAATGATCGGAAAACCAATCAATACCAATTGATAACCACACAAATCTTTGCAATTGATTGGTCATCCATTATCAGTATCAATTGATTGATTGATATCGATTGGTATTGATTGATATAGATTGTCACTGATTGGAAACACCGGGATATCTTACATAGCTTTTAACAAAATCATATTTGATGATAAAAGAGGTTGGTGTTGCAAGCACTAGTATGCGATGCTCATCAATGATCTATCCCAATTGAGTAAAAACATTAATTTTATTTTGCCAAGTTTTTGCCTCAAGTTGTGTTTGGAGTGTGTTGTATATTTTAAAGCAACAAGGCAAATAAGAAATTATACCTAGACTTACTGTGGTTAAAGTTGTACTCTTACAAGTCAGGTAGGTTATACTCCATCTTGCTACGTTGTACGCAGTAAGTTACGGGTAGTGGTAATATAAGGGAAGTTATTCTTGTTTTCAGAATGGCTAAGATAGTCCATGTAAAAATACCAGAACCAGTGATAACCAGTGGAGAAGAAGAAGAGGCAGAGGAGGAAAATTACCAGCCATCTTGGCAAGGTTAGTTCAGATTTACTAGCTGATCACAAGGGTTTCTTTTAATCACTGATTGTTAGCAAAGTGGTTGCTGGCATTTCTCTTGAAAACAGACCTCTTCAGAGGTGGATCTAGGATTGTATGAAGTGCATTAGAACCAAAATTGCTGTGACACAATAATCAAGAGAGATTATTGAAGCATTAATTTGATAACCATTTCTTGTTAATTATTTCCTTAGGAAGTGAAAAAGATGAACCTGAAGTTACGGAAAAACCTGTTGATGATTCTGATGAGTAAGTTATATTTTTTGAAATAATATTAACAAGAGAGATCAGTCATGTCCAGTTGACATGATATGAGTGGAAAAATGTGTTTTACAACTCGTGTGGGTAGACAAGTTGTGTCCACTCAACTGAGTTGTCGGAAAGTGGAAAGTGCATCTCATTACTTCACTGATACAACCTGGCGACCATTGCAGTGACTCTTGCTTAAGCTAACTTGCTCTAAATTTCATGTCTTCTTAATGAAATGCAGTTGTCCAGTTGTATGACTCGTATAACCTGACGACCATTGCCATGACCCTTGCATAAGCTACCTTTCTCTAAATTTCATGTCTCCTTAATGAGACGGATTTGTCCACATGACAACTCCATCTGTCGAGTGGACACAACTTGTCCCCTCATATGAGTTGTAAAACATTATTTCTCCCCTGGTATCACAGGGCTCAAAACTAAAAAAATCCTCAGGTCACCTCTTGATGACCAAATGGAGAAATATACTCGCCAGATATAAATTTTAGTCGCCAGTATGTATTGTATTGTATTTTTACTCCATCCTATAGATAATACATTAGTTGTACAATATCAATTAATACAAAGTTGCTTACACTACGTGTACATAATAATAATAATAAAAGAAGAAAATTAGAATGGAGAAGGGCACATTATAGTAAAACTAAATGACATAGCTTATAGTATGGCAGGATTCATCAGATTTGATTGATTGAAAATATTGCAGACAGAAGTCAGCATATGCTTTACTCTTTTAATTTAAAATAGTCTAAATCATAGAGAAATCAGGTTGCCAAAACCAGATTTTTTAGTCGCCATGGAGAAAAATAATGTTAGTCTCATTGGCGACCATATCAGTCACAATTTTGAGCCCTGTATCTTGTCCACAGTATTGGACAACCTCCACAAATGTGGGACTGGTTGAAGATGTGTCTGGAAAAAAAGTCCCAGTGACATCTGACAAATATTGCTCAATTCTCCTTTCCAATTACCTTTTGTTCGCTCGTGAATAAAAAAGGTGGAAGTGAGTGTTTTTTTTGTGGCACCCCTTTGAGTTTAAAGTTGAGCAAAATAATTGTTGCTGATTTTGGTGATAATAATAATTATTAATTTTGCAGCCAGGAAGAGCAGAAATGGTTAGATGCATTGGAAAAAGGTGAACTAGATGACTTTGGTCGAGTAAAACAGGACAAGGATGTGAGCATGATGACTGCCAGACAGGTATTATTTTTTAAAATTCTTAACCATTCTTTTTTTTCTAATATATATTTTTTTATTAAATAACCATAAAACCTGGTGGAGATAAAGAAGCACCTTTTTGCCCTGCAAGTCCTATGCACTGCAATACATTTGTGGAAAATATTGTTATTCTCTCCTAAGATGTATGCAAATTCCTCATGCAAAGCTTTTTGAAACATTTGTTTTATTAAAATGGTTCCATTCATTATCTTTTGAACACTTCATCTTTATGACGTTAATACTGGACTGACTAACATGACTGTATGTTAGTGTTATTCACTTGGTATGATTTTGTTTACAAGTAAGCTTTTTGTTTATGATAATGGTTGTATTTTCAGAGAGCCATGCTTGGGCATGAAATCGAGGGAGAGAATCAACTCTTGGAATTGCCAACAGGTAATTATATATAATAACTATTATTTTCTTTTTGTTAGTTTTTTTTACAGTTGCTAATGATAATAATAATAATAATAATAATAATATTATTATTATTATTATTATTATTATCATTATTATTAAAGTGTGTTTCTCCATTGTATGGTCTGTGATACTATGCTTGAGAGGCTCAAGATCCAGAAGACGACAGCTAGACTTTGTTGACTCAGATTTACAGATCGAAAACATTAGAGCCTGCCTGAATTAATCTATTTTTTTTTTTAGGAATATGAAGTTTTAATCTTTTTAACTTGTTTCTTTTTAATATCAGAGACGGATAATTTTCTTTTGTCATGACGTAATTTTAAACACTGGACTGCCTGCAAGAGCCATTGATCGCATGTGAGCCTTAAGGAATCGTTAATGACACAGTGATTGTTTTTTAATGATTTGTATGATTCTTAATGTTGTACAGTGCTTAATTCTTACTTCAAACATTTCTGTAAGTTATGTACATATTTTTAATTTTTATTGTTATTATTAAAAAAATATATTATGTAGTATAGGTCACCTTGTTTACAGTGTGTAATTGTGCCTTCTGCCATATGATTCACAGAACCAAGAAGGAAGAATGAAGACACAGAAGAGGCCCAAAAGAGGAGAAAGCAAAGAGCAAAGAAGAGAAAACAACAAATGCAGAAAAAGATTGAGGAAAACAAGGTATATTTTTTAACATTCAAGTATCTAGAACATCTTTTAAGCATTCACTGAAGTTACTGTTCATTTTAATGTTTGCATTACAATTTAAAGTTTTTTTAAAATAATACAAAATTAAAATAAACAAGAAATTGTCTGGTTTCTTTGCAGGCGCAAACAGTCAAGAAACTGCTGGATCGAGAAGCTTCTAGGTCCCGTAGAGAAGAGGAGAAGGTAATACCAACCTGTAATAAGCAGGGATAAATGTAGCTAAGGAAAGGCTAAGCAGGCTTAGGCTTATTTGGTAGTCAAGCCAGCTTTTTTACTCAACTGTACCTTCAAAATTGCCTCACATCTTTCGTTTCCAGAGAGATTTGGGCCGGTGATAAGCTTACTTTCAGCCAGGTAAGTTCACTGGTACTCGTCTGTCAGCTACATCCCTTAAAAAGGCAGGTTTTGTCCTTGACCAGGATAGAGCAAGGAAACAACTCCCAATAACTCGAACCTTCAAGGGCAATCGAAAAAGGTTGGAGTTATCGGGAGCTCGAAGAAAATAGCCGTTAGTAAGGAAAAGAACAGTTTTTACTGCACAGTGAACATTTTAATCACATTTAATTGTAGAAATTTCAAGTGAAAATTAAAAGATACTTCTAGATTGAATCAGAACGTAACGTAACAAAACATAATCTAAACAGTTTTACTGTTTTGAGAGGTAAAGCTGTTTCGCATTAGATTTGCGACAAACAACATCAGCTTTTACTAGTAAACTATACTCCTACAACACGTCAATGGGAAACTCAAAATTCCAAGTTTCAACGCCAGTATTCTGTATTTTCCCCGACGTTTTAAGGGCTGAAAACATGGTTCGAGTTATCGAGGGTAAAATTGTATAGAAATGATCTGAGGGGAAACAAAAACTACTTGGAGTTAGCGGGAGGTTTGAGTCATCGAGGGTTCGAGTTACTAAGGGTAAAATTACCGTAAATGTATAACAGAAATCCAGGGGAAATCGATTTTGGTTCGAGTTAGCGCGAGGTTCAAGTTAGCGAGGAGTCAACTGTAACACCAGACAAGCAAGCAGTCTCAAAACCAACCATGGCGGAGGGATGGGGTTTGAATGCAAACTTGAATTCTAGCTTGTTTTTTGTACTAGACTCTCGTAATCTGCTTGCCGAGGGCCATTGCTTGCTTGTGGCACACTGTAGTTAATAGAGAGGAGAAGTTGTTACGTCATGTTGCCATGGTTGCAAAATTTCTGGATGACAACAAACCGAAAACATTACCTAAAAAGTGAATTCGCACTGTTTCAAAAAGTCATGGATCTTATTCAATTTCATTTAATTTGTGCAGATGTTTGCAAAATTTTCTGGGGTTGATCTCAAAGGACCATATCAAAGTTTAGAAAAAGGAAGAGGAAGTTTTTATGTTGTGTTCACCTACTCCATGAAGTGAGTGCGTGAAATTAGGAATCGTGCAACGGCGGCTAGGAAATGTACAAAAAAGCATGATGCACATAAAAAGTTTTTGTTTTGCTAATATAAACCTATTGCTTTTTGGCCGTCCTCGTTGCTGTCACTGTCAAAGTTGCTAATGCTTCATATTGTTGTGATCCTAAAATTTTGCTACCATGGTAGCGTGATGCCACACTTCTCCTCTCTATTACTTAAAGTATTACATGATGACTTGCCTGGAACCTTTCCCATTAGGAAAGTGAACTTAAGAAGCTACTTGTCCTTCAAGAAAAAAAAATTGAGCTGTCACAGGGGTATGGGTTTGCAGTGAATAGATTGTCACCTAAGTGTTTTTCTTTAGGCCCGTCGTAAAAAGCAAGAAGTACCCCATATAAGATACATCAGCAGTCGAAGTGGATTCGCTCTGTCCTTCTCACAGGGACTTGATTTCCCATTACAAATGCAGTCATCTCGAGGGTAAGCTTATGATTTCTTTTATAAATAAAATAAATAATGATTTAGAGGTAGCACATCCACATAGTGGTTCTTCATCTGCCTGATTCCTGGTCAAATTGGAATTTGGTTCACCAAACATTGGTTTTTGAGGAGAGGGGAAAACCAGAGGACCCAGAGAAAAACCTCTTGTAGCAAACGAGAGAACCAACAAGAAACTCAACCCACATATGGCATCGATGCTGGGATTTGAACCCGGGCCACATTGGTAGGAGGTGAGGGCTCTCACCACTGTGCCATCCCTTGCTCCCCTCTTTTGAAGAGCAGATAGCCCAGGATGCACTAAAATTGACCCTATTGTTTTAAATCTTTAACTGGATTCATAGTATTGAAAAAATTAATTTAAATTAATTAAATTAATTTCACTTCAGTAGTTATTTTCCTGAAATCTACTTAAAGTTTATGTTACACTAAGGTAAAATCACAGTGAACTTGGACCTTTTCTGTCACTGTTAGTGTTTTAATTAAGACAGGTTTCAGTTTCCTATCTTGACCGTTGTACTGGCATGCGTGAGTTTGCACGCATTGCCATCTATTTTTTTTCACCCGGTTACCAAAAAGAATGCTTAGTATGACTGTTTTTCTATGCACATTAGAGAATAAGATAGGGGAACAAAAACAAGGCATACATGTAGGAGTCTAGAAGAGAGGATATTTGTTGCTGGTCACCCATCCAGTTCCTAACTCCACCCAACAGGGTTTGACTTAAGTGACCCTAATCCTTCCAAGATTTGCAAGATGTTTCTAGTATATTGCTCAATAGTAGTATATTCTTTCTGGGTGCTTTACTATGCTTCACAAGCTCCAATGCTATTTGAATATTTTTTCTGTAATTATAGGCCAGTAAAAACAAGACCAACATGTGCAGCTCAGGGATGCAAGAATTTAAAGAAATATGCTTGTTCTGGTAACAATCTCCCAGTCTGCAGTATGGAATGTTACAACAAGGTTCGGTTTATTCCTGTGCAGACAGCTGTTGTGTAAAGAGAATCAAATTTTGGTGGCTAAATGTCGGTTAAATGCATGAACATGCAGAACTCTTGCAACAAGTGTGACAACTTTATCACAAAAAAAAGAAAAAATATTACGAAAAAGCTTTTCCCCACCAAATAAACAATCGCAGAAACAAGACAATACATAACTCCAAGGTTAATATTGGTGGTTAATAGATCAATATGGAGAGATTACAATAATATTAGTTTTCAAGTTTGGAACCTCATTCACTTCTAAATGCTAGGAATAGGTTACGTGAATAAATTGGTTATAATAAGCACGACACATATTTGTTGTTCTGTTTTTTTTTTTTTTTTTTTCTGTTTTCATTTTTTATAAGGAAGTTGCTTATCTACCTTGAATAATAATTATTGTAAATTATTTCCAAATTAAGTTTATTTAAAGCACCTTCCTTAAAAAGCAGTTTTCAGACACTTGTGTAGCTGTATATAATAAAATAAATCCTTTCGCCGCTATTGAAATGCATTGCTTGTAGCAAAAGAAGGAACGAGACTGGAGTTATGGTTCATTAATTCCTGTTTTGATTGAGAGGAATGACTGTAAGACAACAGTTTAATTCATTGATATTATAAAAACTGTAACATACTTTTCTCTTTAGTCTGAGTCATTTTGTGATCAACAATAGTATTAAAATAATGGTCATTCTTTCTAACTCAAGAATCCTTGTCAGACTACCATGCAAAATAATAATCCTGAAACAATTATCGAAGGATAATACTATTTTAGTTGCTTTATTATTTAGCAATGTGCAAACCTACTGTAAATAAGTTACTTGTTTATCTGAAAAAAGTTACTCATTTTTTTTCCTTAATGGAAGAGTGTATATTTCTGTTATTGAACTTTAAACTTGGTTTTTTAACTTAAAGGGTATGTTCACAATATTATGCCTGAGCACTAGTGCCTGGAAACAGCCAGAGTACATATTTGCTCTGTTTTACCCTGTCAGATGTCATTTGGAAACATAAGTGTCATACGGATTTATGAACGTCCAAAGCAGGGCATTGCCTCAGAACCTAAGAAAATGTCTCCAAACAACTATTCAATGCCCACTCAAGTGCCTAAGTACAAGCTCTATTTTAAATGATGACTTCTTGAATGAACACACACAGGCTGAATCAGAAGGGATAAAGCCAATTGATAAGACTGCGAGACTCAAGCAAAGGCAAAGCTCATGGGAAGTCTTGACCCAGACTTAACAACAACATATTATTGATATTAAATACAAAGAAGATGCCTCCTTAGGGGTGGAAGGGATTGACAAAATTTATTATTCTAAACCATTTGTTTTTGTAGAAGCTGGCTAATGATGAGTAGATATGGCAACACACATAACTAAGCATTCCCTTCAAGTTGCAGAATCAATAGATGGAGTAGTAGTGTATTAATCCTTTCACCCCCAATTTCCATTTATAAATAACTCAAGACTGACCTACAAACAATCTCTCAAAGAATAAGTTGAGAGAATTTTATAAAAAATCAAAGCAGTTCTACTTTGGTGATTATTATTATTTCTCATATCTTTTTCTCTTGATTATGTATTGAACTTCTGATTGAAACTGTTGGGAGCTACCTATACTTTATGATTGCGATAAACAAATACTTTGTAAAAAATAAGACCCAAGCGTCTTGTTTACGGAAAAAACTTGAAGAATTTATCTCTGGCTAAGGGGCTAACTCAGTTACGCCAGCAGGATCCCTGAGAATTAACCTGAGAGTGCACCTGGCAGAGAAGGACAAGGAGAGACTGGGAACTAGCCAAGGCAACTAAACCTGTCAAGATGTTCAGGGCGGAAAAACGTTCTGCGCAAGCTTTTGCGCATCCCTTATCGCAGGCTCAAGGCGGGCTTTTCTGTGTGTTCACACTTGTGTTCACTGTGTTTGTTTGTTACTGGAGTTCTGAGTAAAATGCACGAGGTGCGAACGTTTGCTCGCTGTAAAGCATTAATTTTTTATTTGACATCTTTGCTTTTTTTTCGTCGCTTGAAAATTACTTTGGATTCAGAACAACCAATGTGAAAGGAAAAACTGATCATTCCGTCAGTCTGAGGTGGAATAAAAGGTTTTGATCATTTCCAAAAAGGCGAGTATTTTTTCTGATTGTGCATCCGATTAATTTATGAGTTGATTTCGCCGAGTTTAATTAAAATCCCGCTTTATTCTGTTATTAGTAGTTACGGTTACTTTTTTTACACTTCCAGATTTATTACCTTCGCAGAACCAGCTTTATCTTTGTCTTCAGTCAAAGAACCATATTGCTGTTATAACGCATCAGAGTGAACAAACTTGTGCGCTTATTAAACTTTCTCAGAAATAGAAGACCAGCAAACTTACTCAAGATCATTTTTCTGTTGCTCAAGTAATAATAGTCAGAGTTTTTTCATTTTTCATTACACAGTTTTGTTTTCCAGTGCACTATGAAAGTTTCTGTTCTTTCTGAAGAATAACTTTCTGAACGCAAATTGTCCTTTTCACTCGCTGTGAAGTAGAGAACGACAACTGCAGGCAGTGACTTCAAAACAATTGACTCTTTTCCCGTAAACAATTGCTGCAGCTGGATTCGACTGAGGTGAGCAAAACAAACCCTTATGTGCAATTTTCTGAATTTTCTAATGATCCGCTGAGTTTAATTTGCTTTAACGAAGACCCTCGCATGGACCAGTTAAGCTTATTGAAAATAGCTAAATGGTGAATCATGGCAAGGCTGCCAAAGTTGCAACTGATCTTTTGCTTTTAAGATCTTTAGGTAGGTTGTTTTCGTACAGAAAATTCATTTCTTCATTGTCAGCAAGAAGTTTTTGAAATAATGTAACTTTAATTTTGTTTGAAGAAATGCTACTTACGCGCAGGTTTTTGACAGATGTTATGCGTGTTCAACTTGACAACACAAAGCAAAATTTATATATCTGCGCGAAACGAGTAAGTTTAAAAAACTATAGTTGCTTTAAAACCGATTTTTGGGAATATTTTACTACATAAAGATTGACCTTTTTTCTGCCCACATATCAACGCAATAACCTCTACATTGAGGATTTTGTTTATATTTTAGTGATCTGCGAAACTACGAGTGTCCGATCGAGCGAGGGTTTTAAAATATCAGCTCGAGTGCGACAAAATTCAGTGACTTCAAACACATTGTGGGCAAGCGTTAATTTTTTTGGGCAAATCACTGTCCAAAGATATGTTGTTTTTGTGTCCACTGTGGAGCTCCGGACCTTATATACCCAGGAACTTCCTTATATGAACACATTTTGTGAATGCATCTTGAAAAAAATCGGACCTACGCATGCACATTTCCAGTACAACGCAAGGAAATTAATGTCGTTAAAGTCCGTTTTACTATGAGGTATTCTTCGAGAAAATTAAGTAACGACAAGGTTATAACCACAGCTTGCAACTTTTGAAGACAAATTGCTTGTTCTTTCCAGGTTATGAGTGCAAACATTTTATTTTTAGGCAATAAAATATTTGAAATCCCGCCATTTTTTCAAAACCCGGCCAGGGGATCTGGGCAAAAAATTTCACGCATGCTCATTACGTTTTTCCGCCCTGAAGTCAAGATGGCGGGAATACCTCAAGGAACGGGTCGGAGTCAAAAGAAGGTACAAAATTGCTTACTATTAACCTTAAATCTTACCACTTGTCTCTTTTTAGTTTGTTTTCCCAAGAAGAATTACACGGCCTTTACTTGTGTTCTACCTTTCCTAATGTGGCGAACTTTTGCCAGTCAACGAAGAACCACGTGAATTGTAATTTTAGTTTTTTTCTGGAACTTTTTTTGAAGTAAGCTGAATTATATCGCAGTGCTTTGTCCCTGTTACTTGACTTTAAACTTGTGAAACCAGTCGCAGAATGAAAAGCAGTTTGGGAAAAATATTATCATGCTTATTCTTAAACAAGAAATTACTTTTAATTTGCGCTTCCCAAATACGCTTTGGCGTTTTTGATGTCTGCTAAAATTCAGCTTAGAAACGAGTCTAGAACTGGTGTGGACGGTCAAAAGAGGACATTCGAAAACACTTTCGAGGAGCTAACATTGACATCGGCCGTGGAGCCGAGCATCTTCCTACAATAGCACTTTGCACCATTCTTGTGACCATGCACAACAGTTACACTACCCGTTAGACCCAAATCAGCCTGGCCCTTATCTGTTTTGAAACTTCTCGTAAGTGTGGAATGTTTGATGTCTCCTGCGAATCCATTCCTAGGCAAGAGAATTTTTTAATAGACAAAATCATTTTGACTGGAAGAGAGGGAAACAGTACAATTTCCAACATGCATTAGTTTTATATTAAAACCCCCAAGCACTGCTTCAGAAATACCCAACTTTATGCGGACAACCGTGGTGTTACAGGTGATGACAGGGTGCAAAGAAAGTCAGCTTAACAGCCTGCCGTCCAGGCAAGCTGTAGTTAGCATGTACTAGCCCAAAAGTCATTTCAACAAGCCGCAAAACCCTTTCTGATTAGCAGGATTGATTAGTCCTTCTGTGATTTGAATTTCCCCAAAAAACAGCACTTGCCCATCGGGCAAGTTAAGAACAAAAATAACTAGCCCGATAGCAAAATCCACTAGCCCCAGGCTATCGGACACGACTTTCTTTGCACGCTGTGATGATGAGTCATAAGCGGTCCTCACAAACAAATACATTACCACTTCTTGTTAGCTGGCCACACCAAATTTACATCTGCTCTACCTGCTACTGCAGGTTGAGAGGCCAAAAAAATTAGGAGAAAGGAGCAAGGCAAAGGCAGCAACAAGCTCCTAGAGGAAGGAGATTGGTACCCAGTGCAACTAAGGAATACCAGGCTGCTAGGAGTTCTCCAAGATGGCGGCCCCCAGATGTCGAATTTCAGGCTACTTTAGATGAGAAATTATTTCATAGGGTTGGAACGCTGTTTGCAAGCTGAAATTTCGGTGAGGAACCTGCCATTGGCATGAACTTCTCCTTTAAGATAACACACCTTGCGTGCTTTTGTGCACATGTAAAGTGTGTAGAGCAATGTGGCAATCGCAGACATTTGTTTGGGAACTTAAGCACACTTTTTTGCTCCACTTGCTCTCACATCTCCAGCGTGTTCTCTGAGATGAAAGAAATTTCTTATGGGAAAGGTGGCTAAAAGCATGATAAAATGAATTGAATTTTTTTCCATTGGAAGTTCATCATCAGCATGCCTTCACCTTAAGAATAATATTCCTGTGGAGGGTCACAAATGTTTACAATACACTAGGACAAGGTTGTCATTAAGAGCCGGGGGCCGGGGATTTTCCCCGGCTACTAATAGAGTAGCCCCCGGCTACTTTTATTGGAAAATAGAAGAAAAATAGAACCAAAAGAAATCCCTAGCCATTTGATTCCCTGCCTACTTGTTGTATTTACCCGGCAACTTGAAATCTTGGTGACAACCCTGTGGGAACAATGTCTGTTGTGAGCTGATCATTAGCCTGTTAAGATAGGTTGCACACATTGCTGCAAGGTGTAACCACAGAAATAACTTACTGTTTTACATTGGAACAACAAAGGCCACCTGAAGACAAAGTTGAGCATAACAATGTATTCTGAAAAAGTTGGTTGTCAATCATAATTACTATAAACAACTTGTATCAAAAAGAACTATTTGTGACCTACAGACCTGACCTCTTAAACCTGCTGAAGTAAGCCTGTTTTGTGAGAGGTCCAGTAGAGTTATGGAGGAAGGCGAACATCATAAATGGTAGTCTTGTTTCTGACTTGTGGTCCAATGTTACTGCAAAGCATGGCAATGTTAGCAATAAATTGCTGGGAGATCACAAAGCAATAGCTTCTGACGAACAAATTTGTCTCCTGGGCATTATATTTAAAGATTTGGACAGAAAAACATTGTCCTATGATAAATATTGCTTTTGTGGAAACATTTGCTATTTTTAAAATTTTGTACTTTGAGTAGCTTGTTGTCATCTTACAAGATTCTGATTAGCTGAAACAAAATATTTCTCTGAATGTATTGTTATCCTGTGATCAGATTTATCAACTCTGTGTTGGTGGCCTCAGTTATAGGTGGTTGTAGGCACTTTCAATAGTCATGCAGGCATTGGTATTATAAAGAAATTGATTTTATGACATTTATTGCCTTTGCTGAGACTATTAGAATAGTCCAGTTATTGGGACTACTATTAAAGGAGCGACCATTAATTTGATTTTGATCTTTAGAACCCTATGTAGATGTTATGTCTTTTTAAGATTAGTTCCTTCATGTAATTCTAATTAGAGTGCTTTTGTCCTTTCTTTATTCACTCTCAGAGACAGGAAACAAGCTGGAGTGGGGCTTTGTGCGTGCAGTCAGCATAGATCAGCAGAAGAAAGGTCTCTTGCACTTAAGGGTTGTATGTTTTACATTTCACCAAATTTTTCTCACACAAATAATTATTCATGAAGTTTTCATTCTTATTATATCTTATGTAACTCATGTGATAAGTCATGCATTTCAAAGAGCATTACACATGCTATCTGTTTTGATAACACAGATATAACAGTTATTTTTAATAACAGAAAGCACTTTTAATTGTGTGGAACATGTCTGGATTAAGTGGAAACATGGTCATTTTCTAAGATAAAAAAGCCTTCTTTTTCAAGTGTCTCTCAGCCTCAGTGACAGAACTGAATTTAATGCTTTTTCTATTAGAGAAACTTTTGGTAGCAAAGCTTTGTTAGTGGATTAAGAAATTAATGTTTAACTTTAGTTGACTGCCATTCCACCATAATCATTTACAATATCTTTTTCTTTTCTATCAAGGAGCGAGTTTAAATTGTACGAACATCATGGGACCTAGAGATTGATTGAAACAGAAAGAGAAGGAGAAACCTCAAAAAGTGAGTAAAAATACTAATGGTAGTTTGCTTGAGTAATGTAACAGGTTCTCAGGGAATCCTTTAACATAGGTGGTGTTTACATAAGAAAACTCGCCCTGGCCCAAGTTCTATACTGGGGTGGCTTCTTGATATCATATTGCATTTACATGTTTTTTCTTTTGTCATCCCATGACCAACATGACAATGCCATCCTGATTGGCATGCGCTACCCATTCCAGTTTACCAGCAGACTGATTTCACACCGAAACGAGTGGTTGTTTCGCATTTATATTATGCCGTCACAAAATTTCGTACCAGAGAGAAATTCTCGCTCTGGTACAATCACCGGGGTGAACCCACACCAGGGTGACTCGCCCCGGCATGATCTTTGGTGGTGGTATCATGAAACAAATACAGAGCCACAAGAGGGAACCGGAGTGATACTAGATATCAGCTATTGGCGATGTAGAGGGGTGCCATCAGAGAGAATGAAAAGTAGGCTAGGAGGTGAGCCACAGACTTGTAGATGCTGGGTAAGGGCACGTATAGGGCAGAGATCACGTTTTCCAGTTCAAGGACTGTTAGATGATGGGCATCAGCTCGATTGTGATGGGTTGGCGTTGATGCCTTTTTAAGACCTTGGGGACTTTTGATACCCCACAACACACGCTGTAACCGAAGGCAACCAACCAGCAGAGAGGGCAGACCCTCCTCAATGTGAAGGGACTGGATTGCTGAAAGGTAAACCTTTATCAATGAATGGTGGAGAGTATTGGCAAGATGACAGCAGAAACGGATGAGCGCGTCTTCACTGGCTGGAAGAGCTGATCCCGAAGGAGAAAGGCTATTTTCCTGAGCACAGAAATCCAAGAAGCGGCATTAGGCAGAAGCACAAACTTTGCCAGTAGAAGGGGCAAGACCCTGAGTCAAGTAGAAGAGGCATTTATCTGACAGGGAAGTTCCAAGTCCGAGAGTAGCTGCTGCGGAATCTGGGTCGGAATGGAGTCTGCATGAGAGGCTAGCCGACAAAAGCGTTGAAACTGAAAGTGAGACAGGGAGTCAGCGATCGGGTTAGACTTCCCTCTAACTGGGGAGGCAGTGAAAGAGAAGGAGTGATGAGCTGCCAATAGGGACAGATAGCGACCCAAGGACATGATGGTAGGGGCTCTTGAAGTGCCAGACCGCAGAATTTCCACCACTGAGCAGTTATCTGATAGGAAGTTGACCTATTTGGGGGCCTGTAGGGGACCCCAGAGGTAAGCTGCCATGACGATAGGGAAAAGTTCTTTGTACTTGATAGACTGAGAGACCTGTGTTGGGAGCCATGCGCCTAACCAGAGCCCCAGGGCATCTGAAGAAACCTCAAAGTTGGGAAGTGAAGCCCACTGGGGGTACTGAAGGAAGCTGCAACCTTTCCAAGACTGGAAGAAACTCTTGCCACTAGGCTTGGTCAAGAAAGAACACCTGATTGAGACCAGTCGGGTGGTCACCATGACAAAAAGCACATAGCAGATTGATTATTCAACACAAGAAAGAGTACGACCTTGCAGGCATGCTGAAGGTGACCTATCAGAGACTCCAGTTCCTTGCGTTTACACCAACGCTTCTGTGACCAATCCTCCACAAAGGTTATCCTATCAACTTTGTTCTGAGGAAGGCGCGCCTGCAGATTAAGAGAGTCCAGTTCAATGCGCGGGATGGTTAGGCATGTCGACGGCCCTTCTACTTTGTCTAGATGGAGGGAGATGCCAAGCTTAGAAAAACAGTCAATAGACCTGTCCAGATTGTGTTGACAGACAGAGGAGCCAGGAGGGCCAAGAGTGTGGAAGTCATCAATATAATACATCAGGAAGGTGACATCGTAGTTTTGCTTGGCCACCCACTCCACTAACTCTGCTATACATGTGAAGATATAATTATGGAGCTGACCTGATACCGAAAGGCAGGACCATATTGACATAAAAGGCACCACGCCATTTCATACCCAGCAACTGGTGATCTTCTGTATGGACTGGTTCAATACGGTATGCATTTTGCACATCAAATTTCGCCATAAGGGAACCCTGCCCCAACCGCATTATGCCTGCAATAATGTCATCTACCTTCATGTACTGCAGAGAAAAATCCTTACCTGCAGTCCCATCGTTGACACTGTGGCCAGCAGGGCTAGACAGGTCCAGGATAAGATGCCATTTCCCAGGTTGGTGGTGTTTGAGGATGACGTTTGGATCCTGCCTGTCTGAACTTCCGATTGCAAGTAATTGTCGATGACCTGAGGGTTTAGGAGTGCCGAAGCCACATTCCCTGTTGCCAACTTCAAAGAAGTACTGTAATTGAAGCCTAGGCGAAAACCATCACGAAGGCTTTGTACCACTTATGCAACTTTGTCTGGGTTAGGATGATGGCGGTGACCCCCCTTTGACTGAGAAGCGGGGGCAGGGCTGTTCTCTCTGTGCAAAGCGGCGAGGGCAGTGGATGCGAGGGTGGTCCTCGTGACACGTTTCATAGGAGTGACGAAACCGGCAGCGGCCAAAGGGCCAGTGACAGCGCCCATCATTCCAGGAGTGGTAATACTTGTTAGACCGTGGATTGTCCGAAGACGCCAGAGGCTCTGTTAGAGACAAGGTAGAGGAAGTTGAGGAGCTTGAAGCAGCTGAAGTGTTGGCTGGAGATCTGGTGTGTTGTTGTGCAGCAGAGAAACAGGTTGTCTTGGTTGTGAAGCTAGAGTGTTAACTGGAGGAGCTGGTGTAGAACCTCTACCAGAATGGTATGACACGGTAACCGGAAACGACATTGTAGACAAGCTGTTGTTTGTTGTTCACATCCTCAAAGAACGTGATGACACTCATACCTTGAAAAATTGGAAGAAAAAGGATACAAGAAAAAACACGCTGTAGGACTGCTGCTTCAAAAAACACTAGAAAGGACTAAAAGATGCTAAATGAACTGCTCCACAGAGCACTGCACAGATGCTCAACGAAGAACTCGCAGATCCTAGCTTTGTACAGAGCTACCACCTACCATGGATGCCTGCTAAGCTCGTGGGCTGCTTGATCGCTAAGCTTGCGGTCCACTTGACCACTTAACTTGTGGACTGCTTAACTGCACAATGCAACTTGACTGCACAATCGCTTTATTGAACAAAAACACCGTGAAATGGTTACTGATAACCAGTTTCAGGTTCCATTAATTACATTTTACTTGCATGACAGTAAAATTGCTTTTATATTAACTTGATTTTTTTTGAAAATCGCGTCAATAAAGTGCATCATTAATTTCCTATAATAAAGCATACACATCATAACATGTCTTGACCATGCATACACACAAAAATAAAAAACTAGTTGATAGAGTACATCATAATCAAACTTCAGAAGTAAATACCAAGCTGTGCAAACAACAATTACTATGATCAAGTTTTCCCTTCTCAAATAACTGTCTCTTTGCTCCTCAGGTGTCAAGCTTAGGAGTTCTCAGATGGACTGTACTGCCCTTTGCAGATCAGAGATTTAGCGGAGCTGGACCAGACATTATACAGGTAAGTTAAACAAGTTGATAGAGTACATCATAAACAAATTTCAGAAGTAAATACCAAGCTGTGCAAACAACAGTTACTATGATCAAGTTTTATCTTCTCAAGTAACTGTCTTTTTGCTCATCAGATGTCAAGCTTAGGAGTTCTCAGTGATGAGCTGGACTAGACATTATACAGGTAAGTTAAACAAGTTGATAGAGTACATCATAAACAAAGAAGTAAATACTAGTGGTGTAACGATTAATCGAATTCTCAATTAATTGCGATTATGACCATTCGATTCGATTCACGATTCTTTGCTTCCACGTTTTGATTTTGGTTCGATTTTTGCACACCTTTTCCAGGGTGCCCTTAGTGAGTTATTATATCGTAAAATCAGAATCCAGAACGCTTTAAATTGTGTGTTTTTGATTGATGAGCAAAGACGATAGCATTTCGTGCGCCATTTTATGCTGCCTGGTAAAAATGCTGTCCTTCAACCACCCCTTGAGAATTTCCAAATAAGGCAAACTATGTGCGACACGCTCTTTGTCAGGTTCTCAAACATGGCGACGAACCAAGCGACTGTGAATCCTCCTGTCCCTGCTACTATTCTCAAATTGAGGGTTTAGGGTTGCATGTTGTTTACATGACATGTTATGTTATAAGAATTAAGAAACATTTACATAATCAAATCGAAATAATCGAAATCAAAAGGCAATAATTGAAATCGAATCGAACCGCAAGGAATACGAATCGTTACACCCCTAGTAAATACAAAGCTGTACAAAAAACAGTTACTATGATCAGGTTTTTTCTTCTCAAATAACTGTCTTTTTGCTCATCAGATGTCAAACTTAGGAGTTCTCAGTGATGAGATGGACTAGACATTGTTCAGGTAAGTTAAACAAGTTGATAGAGTACATCGTAAACAAACTTCAGAAGTAAATACCAAGCTGTGCAAACAACAGTTACTATGATCAAGAGTTCTCTTCTGAAATAACTGTCTTTTTGCTCATCAGATGTCAAGCTTAGGAGTTCTCAGTGATGAGCTGGACTAGACATTGTTCAGGTAAGTTAAACAAGTTGATAGAGCACATCATAAACAAACTTCAGAAGTAAATACCGAGCTGTGCAAACAACAGTTACTATGATCAAGTTTTCTCTTCTGAAATAACTGTCTTTTTGCTCATCAGATGTCAAGCTTAGGAGTTCTCAGTGATGAGCTGGACTAGACATTATACAGGTAAGTTAAACAAGTTGTTAGAGTACATCATAAACAAACTTCAGAAGTAAACACCAAGCTGTGCAAACAACAGTTAATATAACCAAGAGTTCTCTTCTCAAATAACTGTCTTTTTGCTCATCAGATGTCAAGCTTAGGAGTTCTCAGTGATGAGCTGGACTAGACAATATACAGGTAAGTTAAACAAGTTGATAGAGCACATCATAAACAAACTTCAGAAGTAAATACCAAGCTGTGCAAACAACAGTTACTATGATCAAGAGTTCTCTTCTCAAGTAACTGTCTTTTTGCTCATCAGATGTCAAGCTTAGGAGTTCTCAGTGATGAGCTGGACTAGACATTATACAGGTAGGTTAAACAAGTTGTTAGAGTACATCATAAACAAACTTCAGAAGTAAATACCAAGCTGTGCAAACAACAGTTACTATGATCAACAGTTCTCTTCTCAAATAACTGTCTTTTTGCTCATCAGATGTCAAGCTTAGGAGTTCTCAGTGAGGAGCTTGACTGGACATTATACAGGTAAGTTAAAGTCAATTGGCTCAGAGTGTGGTATATACTTATGATTCCAAGCAACTAAGGCTATGGTTGGGTTTTAATGTAATCAATACACACCTTGCCAGTTCCATTGTAATACTATCAAGTACTTACTGTACTTACCATACAGTGCTTACTATAGAAAAATACGTTTTTTTTAGTTTATTGGTGTCGCTCACAATAGTGCAAAACATTATTTGACATTAATTTCAGTCAGAGCTTGTGAATAATGACACTAGAATTACCAAATTGATTCTATTCTTATAAGTGACATGCAAGTAGATCATAACTTGACGTATTAAAGTGCTTAAAGATTATACCATTAGTGAATGGGTAGTGGAAGCACTCATACTCATCATGATAGACTGTAATAATTTATTAGGCATGCATACACATCATAATGTGTCTCAACTATGCATACACAGAGTATTGAGGCATAGGTACACATCCTAACAAACTTCAGAAGTAAATTCCAAGCTGTGCAAACAAGTATGATCAAGTTTTCTCTTCTCATATAACTGTCATTTTGCTCATCAGGTGTTAATCGCAGGGCGACTCAGTGACGAGCTGGACTAGAAAATATGGTAAGTTTAAGTTTATAGGCTGTGTGTGTTGTTTTATGTATGTGGGTAGTATAAATCCACTTTAAGGCAAATTGATAATTTTAAGGTACTGTGGGTATGGTTGGGCTTTAATGTCTAAGCAATTCACACCATTCCTTACCATTGAAACACTTTCAAGTACTGGTTGGAAGTGCTGGCAAGGGTTTTTAATGATGTTGAAAATCCCGGTATGTCCTCATGCTGCAGTTCATGAAATTTTTCATGGCATTGTACATGCTGTCTTTAATGACCCATGAAAATGTTCCAGGCAAATTCATGTATTTTTCATGGCATTTTTAAGATCCATGAAAAACTTAAGTTGATTATGAGCAAAATTTCATTTCATAGGAGAATAAGCGAAAACGTGAACCATGAAAATTCCATTAATGTTGAATTAAGCAACGACATCCTCGAAAACAAAACTTTAATACAAGCATAATGATTTCAAGTTTCAGTTTAGGCTGTCAAACTGTTATGGGTGTTTTCTCACAAACAATATAATCCAGTACCCCAATTCCCATCAAGGGAATTCGCTGGGAGTTGCAACTACAATAATGTACTCAAGACAAGGCAATAAATCATGCTGATTTGTCATTCTCTTTTAAATTTTATTCCTTTCACCAGTCATAAATACATGCATGTAATATTTGGATTCCAGTATCATACAGATTACTTCTTCAGATTTGTATTTCTGAACAAAACTACTGGCAATTTTGCAAAATATTATAATATTTATAATAAATTTTTTTCCTAACATATCATTTTGAAGACAGAATTTTATACAGTCAAACCTCCCCATAACAGCCACTTTGGGGACCAGAAAAAGTGGCTGTTGTGGAGAGGTGGTCGTTATGAGGAGGTGGGGGTGTAATATGACAATTTTTGTTAGGGGAGAACAACATGTATATTATGCCAATTTCATGCCTACTTTTTGCAATCATGGAAATCCAATCATAAATGATCATCAACACACCATACGGTTCAAATTCCCTGACCATTCCTGACTTGTTTGTCAGTCGCTGAAAAAACTGGCCTTTTTTGGAGAGGTTTTTTTGGCAGCTGGGGACACAGTACCGTGGATGTTGCTGATGTAGAGAGGTTTAAATTAGAGCCAATGTATAGACTGTCTGCGGGACAAAAGCAAAGTGGCTATTGTAGACAGGTGGCTGTTAGTGGGCTGGTTTGACTGTACATACCTTTCATTTTTAGTTACAAATTTTTGCCATCAATGACTTTCCACGAGAAGGTAGATTAATCATCTCTAATGTTATTAACAGGTCATTTAAAATTCTAAACTGTAAACTTTCCTTAATCTCACATCTTAAATCTGTTATTCCTATACTTACTGGCTAAATTGAGATTGTTGGCAGTTCTTAAGTGTGTAGAATGAACACTGATCGCCAGAGATTACCATGTAACATAAAAATAGCTTACTTTAATTTAGTATTCAGTTGTGCATAAGAAAAAAATGACACAGTCATTCAATTTGTTGAAAATGCTCACAGAGAATCCTGTGTTAGTGGAACATGCTCTTAATAACAAGTGACATGCTCGTAATAACAATCATATAAATTTATGCATTTTATACGAAATACTTCTCCAGACATGCTTTATTGTGCCAGCTATCAGCAGGGCTCGAAATAATTCCCGGAGAGTCTCCAGACAGGATGACCAGCCAAATTTATTTTAGCTCAGTCACGTGTCGCTTCTGGCTGGTCAAATTTGTAAGTTAAATAACCTTTAAACAGGGTTCCATAAACCACGGCTGGTGTTTTATATTTCCAAAACAAGTCGCTTGTACTAGTTATTATCAACCTTGAGCACTGCCTCTTGTATTAATATATTCAGTCAATTAAAACATGTGGCTTTCTCCAGGGAAAATGTGACAGAAAATATCTCAAAATATCCCATAATAAAGTTAGTAAGAAACAATCAAACTCCTTTAAATATCAGCAGGAACATAAACTGGTTCATATTATCAAAAGCTTTTATTTGGTTTACTGAAAATCTTGATCTCTGTTATGATAGTATGTTTACAGTATTTTTTCCCTACTTAATAACAACAACAACAACAACATCTTTATTTCTTACATTAAATATACAAATATCACACCACCTGCAAATAGCAAGGCTAATCGAGGCAGGTGGTGTGTAGACGTCTTAAGATTTATTACGAATAGTTGAAGTGAAAAAAGTACCATATTTATAATAAAAAAGGTCAGTCACGAGAGAAACTGAGATAAGAAAATCGAGGCAGCTATTTAGATAAGCGGGGGCTAATATTTTTAAAATCGGAGATTATCGTGTTTAGGTCAGCATATCTATCCTGAACTTCAAATATTTTCAACAGAATTGTATGAACTTTTTCCTTAAAGAGAGATTTTGAAGAATTTCGTAAATTTTCAGGTATACTATTCCAAATTTGGCTCCCATAATAGAAAACGAATCATTTTTCTGATTTAGTCTAGAGTGCCTAATGTAATAATTTCCAGAAGAAGAGGAGTGAGTGCTGTAAGAGTGAATTTGTTGAGTAGGAATAAAGAGATTTGAAATATTATGAGGGGCAGTGTTATTGTAAACATCAAACATTAACTTCGAAGAAAGCTTAAAAAAGAGCATTGTAATAGGCATAATATTAGAGTGAAGAAAGTAAGGGACGGCATGAGAGTGGAAAGGTGCGAAGTAATAAGTCATGCATAACTAAAATAATTGCTTTAAAAAGTAAAAAAAGAAAGAAACACCCCCAGGCAACCGATGTTGTGCATGATAAATACAATGTTGGACAAAAATGTTTGATCATGAAGCCGGGGCAAGTTTAAATGAGCAAAGAAGGAATGTATTTTTCACTTAGAAATTAAGTACAAACTCAAATTACACTTTAAAATGCTACTTCAAGTATACTCACAGTTTTCACTAGAATTAAGCCAGCTGGACGCAAAAGCCAAGTTTCTGAAATGTTATGTGGACAGTGCCCACATTTTTTTAAGTTTCAATATAATATGATGACAGAGAATAAGAATATGGACACCTTCAGTCTCCAGAGCTTCTCTGACGACTTAGGCGGAAATTCTTATATTTGTATTAAATTCACTGCACTATGATTGGTTCAATTTAACATTCAATGTCTCAGTAAGGTCATTCAAGGTGTAGTCCATCACTGATTCACAGTATCTGCCATATCTTAAAAATCAAATAGAAACTGTCTCCAAGTGGTGATAACATAATATATTATGTCTTCAGCAACAAAACAAATTATAACACACAAAAGATTGAAGCATACATATAACAAAGTTTTAGTAACAGAAGTCTATGAAGCAGTTTCTTTGGACTAACAAAGTAATGCTTTTAATACTTTTTTTGACCAGTGTGTGTCATCATGAACATCTAATTGACCTAAGTATAAACAAATTTGGCAAAAACTACTATAAATTGAATACTGTGTGCAACATCATTCTATGACATTATCATCCACTTGTGTGCTAGTGAGTTTGGCATTTTCATGGTTTTTTAATTATGCTTTTATCAGAAAGCACATTTTCATGGGCCATTACAATTTTCACGACGCATGAAATACATGCTAGGCTGTCACTGTCACTGTCACTGTTACTTTTCAGGGGTCATAAAATGTATCAGTCTAAAATAGATGTGACTTTCATGACCCTTGAAAATCCGTATTCATGGCTTTATAAACTTTTCATGGTTCATGCATGAAAATAACCAGCTAAGAGTTTCGTGGAAATGTCATGACTCATGTTAACACCATGAAATCTGAAATCTAAAATGTTTTCATGGCCATGAAAAGTGGATTCATGCGTTTTTCAACACATTTTCATGGGATTTTCATGAGAAAGAGATTCATGGTGGTGTGACAGAAAAGATTAAAAAATTAACCTTGAGACCACCTCTTTCAGCTTAAGTTATTCTGGCGATTACTTACATAGTTCCTTCTTATGGGATGTATTTTCAAGAATCACCACTCATTATTATTTTGTAGGCGTAATATAGATAAACACATTTAATTAACTGATTTCCATTGACTAAACAGAACAAGTTTCACTGTGGTTGCATGTAGATTTCCCATAAGTTAACAGATAAATGCAAAAGAACTGGTGACTGGTGAAAAAATATGGAAGTCAGCATTCATAGTCACCAAAAAACAACCAGATATAGAAACCATGTGTAAAGATCTTAACTCGTAGAGTTACAGTGCAGATAGATCATAACAAGTGAAGGATAGATAACCATGAGAGTACTCAGGGAGCAAGGGATGTGACCCATGTTGGAATCTTGACGTCGACACCATATGTGGGTTGAGTTTATTGTTGGTTCTCTCCTTTGCTGAGAGGTTTTTTTCTCCAGGTACTCTAGTTTTCTCCTCTCCTTAAAAACCAACACTTCCAAATTCCAATTCGATTTAGAACATACAGACACGTTTTAACAAGTAAACTCATAAGTGCTCCATGGGTAAAAAAAAATACAATTTGCAGTTTTTTTACATGCATACTCTTCATAGCAAGTGGATACGGTATAAACTTCAGTGGTGAATACCAAGCTGTGCAAACAACTATGATCAACGTTTTTGTCCTAATATAACTTTCTTTTTTATCAGTTGTCAGCCCAAGAGGACAAGGCAATATGGTAAGTTAATGGTATTGAGCTAAGAGTGTGTTATGTGTCTAGATAGTACTCCAGTGTAAGGAAAAGTGATTAGCCCAAACAACTATGGGTATGGTGGGGCTTTAATGTTGAACCAATTCACACCATTCCTTGCCATTGTGACCCTTTCAGTACTATGTCAGCGAGCGTTGTTATGGGTGAGCATGTGCCTTATGCTTTGTTGTTGTTCTCTTGTGCTTCGCGACCTTATTATTGTAACTGTTCACTATTCACGGGTCGTCTTTTCCTCATTACTGGCATGGCGGCCTCTGACATTTGTATGTACGTCTTGTCCAAAGAGAAAGCCAGCTGATATGAGGAGATAGTGAAGCAGCCCAGCTCCAAGCTGTTCCTTTAGTTACTCCACTCAAGAACCCGCATCTAAGTACACGGCATCCGTCTTCTCTTAATCAGCATTCTGCCATGAATCCTCTTGCACCCAAGTAGTGGTCCCTAACGAAATGCAAGACAATGACTTTGTTTGAAGCCTGAAGACATCTTAGACCCTGACTGCACTGTAGCTATAGAGGCCCGTACTGATACACTACCCAACCAGAGCACCAAGGTTACAGCTCTGGCCTCAACCTTATATTGGCTAACAAGGTTCACATAGCTAACAATACCAACAAACTGCAAACCATCCGTCATCATAAACACCATCATCGTGGCCATGGACTCCACATTTGTTCCAGTGGCGTCTCACCTAACTCCCCCCCTGCAACAGGTGGAGCCAAATTCACCAGTCTGGTTTCTTTTTGGAGTAGTCACAGTTGACTCTGACCACATCGTACCTGACAGAGTACAAACGAGTCTCTTCAAGTGCTGCAGGCCCACGAAGGTGTCTTATATCTGACTATTGCAGAATATATAGTGCCGCCGGCCCTGTTGAAGCCACTGTCAGTTTGGGTCCCGTACAGCCCCTACAGTGTAATGGCTGTATTGCACAGTACTCCTGCGACAAGCTAGTACCCTTGCAAGAGAAATTGACAAACTGGAACAATTCCAAGTTTTCCGTCGTCCTGAGGATGTCAGAATTAAGGAGGCTCACATCTATTTTTGAAGGTCTCACCCCTTCATGTTTGATATTTCATAACTCTGGCTGTAGTGAATGTGCAAAAAAGCCACAAAGTTAAAAAATCTAAGATTAAAATCCTCAAGAGTGCTATTATAGTTCAGACCATTGTTTTAACTCGGCAAGTTTTGAAAAAAAATTATGGCAGCATTTTTAAAATATTATGTCCTAACAATTTTGCATCCCAAAAAAGGTCTTTTTTCACACTTTGTGTTTTGATCATATAAATGATGATTTATGATGCCAGTAAAATCGATATTTACATACCTGGCTTTAGGTGCAGTTCAGTTCTTTCAATAGTAGAAATTAGCAAGCAATCACTCTTTGTGATCACGCATTTTGCTACTCTTACTCATAAGATTTATTTGCTCATGTAAGCACAAAAAGGTGTCAACTGTGGTCTTCAAATCACAGTTTAAAAATTTGTTCCTTGAGAGTTTAATCATTGCTAACCATTTTAGTGANGGTCCCTAACGAAATGCAAGACAATGACTTTGTTTGAAGCCTGAAGACATCTTAGACCCTGACTGCACTGTAGCTATAGAGGCCCGTACTGATACACTACCCAACCAGAGCACCAAGGTTACAGCTCTGGCCTCAACCTTATATTGGCTAACAAGGTTCACATAGCTAACAATACCAACAAACTGCAAACCATCCGTCATCATAAACACCATCATCGTGGCCATGGACTCCACATTTGTTCCAGTGGCGTCTCACCTAACTCCCCCCCTGCAACAGGTGGAGCCAAATTCACCAGTCTGGTTTCTTTTTGGAGTAGTCACAGTTGACTCTGACCACATCGTACCTGACAGAGTACAAACGAGTCTCTTCAAGTGCTGCAGGCCCACGAAGGTGTCTTATATCTGACTATTGCAGAATATATAGTGCCGCCGGCCCTGTTGAAGCCACTGTCAGTTTGGGTCCCGTACAGCCCCTACAGTGTAATGGCTGTATTGCACAGTACTCCTGCGACAAGCTAGTACCCTTGCAAGAGAAATTGACAAACTGGAACAATTCCAAGTTTTCCGTCGTCCTGAGGATGTCAGAATTAAGGAGGCTCACATCTATTTTTGAAGGTCTCACCCCTTCATGTTTGATATTTCATAACTCTGGCTGTAGTGAATGTGCAAAAAAGCCACAAAGTTAAAAAATCTAAGATTAAAATCCTCAAGAGTGCTATTATAGTTCAGACCATTGTTTTAACTCGGCAAGTTTTGAAAAAAAATTATGGCAGCATTTTTAAAATATTATGTCCTAACAATTTTGCATCCCAAAAAAGGTCTTTTTTCACACTTTGTGTTTTGATCATATAAATGATGATTTATGATGCCAGTAAAATCGATATTTACATACCTGGCTTTAGGTGCAGTTCAGTTCTTTCAATAGTAGAAATTAGCAAGCAATCACTCTTTGTGATCACGCATTTTGCTACTCTTACTCATAAGATTTATTTGCTCATGTAAGCACAAAAAGGTGTCAACTGTGGTCTTCAAATCACAGTTTAAAAATTTGTTCCTTGAGAGTTTAATCATTGCTAACCATTTTAGTGAAATTTTAGTGCCATGGAAAAATTTCTTAGTTATTGAAAAATAAACAATTTCATGATGAATCTTGGTGCCTGGCTTTGTAAAGGCAATAGTTTGCTAGTTTACCCGTTTAGGGTTATGTCTCTTACTTAGTGCTTTCCACAAGTTGCTCGAGATTTTCCAAAAAGTTTCCCTTAATTTCTCAACATGTTGCTCAAAAGTTCCTCAGAAAACAATCAAGAATTGCTTTTTGTAACGAAAGTTGATCAAACGTTGCTCGAAAAAACAAAATCTTTTTTGGGTCTGATGCTCAAGTATGCAAATTGTACAACAAAAGTAAGATTTCTAAGCATTTTTGTGCAATTTTGCGGCGTAACCAGCGCTGCTAAATAACTTTGTCTGCAATTAAAATTTTGGATTGACGTTCTTCATCCGAGACACTAAAGTCAGTTGAGAGTGAATATTCGTCCACCATTTTGAATTTTCGCTAAAAACCTTTGACCAAGCAGCGCAGCTACCTTTATCTTGTGCCCCTGATCTGGGGAGGATTTGGCTCCTTTTTTACGGAAAATTCATAAATTGTCTACTATAATATTGTGAAATATGGAAGAAGGGCCAATTTAGGCACTAAAAGCTGCTCTGATATCTCAGAATTTGAAGATAACTAGAGAAATTGCTCAGAATGCAAAAAGTTGCTCGAAACTAAAAAAGGTGCTTGAAATAAGAGAAGTTGCTGAAAAGTTAACGAGCAACTTGTGGAAAGCCCTACTCTTGTTTGTTTCTGCATAGCTATTGCATACAGCATGGCTCACTGCTTCTTTCACATTTGAGTGATTCTTCTTACAATGCTTCATTTGATTCAGTTATTCAATGAGCTAAACCTTGTTATTTATCAAATTGGAAAATGATTAAAAGTAAAGAGAACGGTCTAAACAATTAGCACACAAGAGGATTTTAAGACATTATTGCTAGCTTTCAAGAAAATTCCCAGTTGTTGATTTCATGTCATTGTTATTTTGTTGCTATGGGAGCGCCTGCTTCAACAAAACGTAGTCTAAAATTGAGTTTAAATTTAGATATGTTGTTTCACTTTGGGGCTTTTTCATAATATTGCACTACAGCCAGTTATGGAACATCAAACAGGATGCGGTGAGACCTTGAGAAAAGGTCGCAAGTCTCCTTGACGTGGAATACATGTACCTCAACCCCATCCTCGCTTGCCAAAAAGCCATCTGGGGGATTTCATATTGTTAACGCCTTTGCCAAAGTCGGTTGATGCAGCAAGCTTTTTCCCTTGGTGATGTTAACTAAACGTCGACTCCACCCTTTGCACTATTGCTTCATGGAAGTACATAATCAAGTCAGATCTCATGTGTGCCTTTTACCAGATACTTCTATCCAAGGGTGCTATGAAGTACTTTGGTGTTGCCACCCTATTTCGCGGCATCAGAGTGTACACAAGATCAGCCATGGGAATGCCTGGCTCAGAGACTGCTGTGGAAATATTATTGTTGCGTCCTGGGCAACTTCATCCAGAAGGGATGTACAGCAACGTTTGCTGATCACCTTTATTGTCAAGGCGACTCACCTGAAGAGCTTGTCTCCACCTGGTGCCACATAGCTGTCTTCCTCCTGAGTCTTTCAACGGTCTACCTTTCTTCATTAGCATCTGCAAGGTGTTTAGTCGTGTGCTACCTTACTCTTCTCCCACACCCATCCAACCAACTTTGGATTGTGACTGATGGTTCAGTAACTAAATGCGGTCTTGGTGCAACTATATAAGCAGGTGAAGCATGATCGTCTGGGTCATTGTGGTCCTGAATCTTCAGAGTCAGAGTGAGCTGTATTTTCTGTTTGTGTGCAAGGTGGTTGTTTTAAGGTTGTAGTATACATGCAATACATTCCTAAACCAGTCATCTTACAACCTGACGTCTCAAAAGGCTACAACAATACAGACTTTGACAGGACAAGTGCTACTGGTTTGCTAGTCATCTAACAGCTTACGAGACAGACTGACTACCTAAATAACATTTTTATTAAAAGCAAATACAACGTGGACTATGTTAGATGGAACACTCTCGGTAATACCAACTCCAACACTCTGAGTAATGTTGATTCTGGCCCTGTTACAACAGCGACTTACCGTACATCAGAGGCACATCTGAACCTATCACATGTGTACCACAACCTTACAACATATGCATTGGACGCAAACCAATAACCACTTTGCGGCAACTGCTTACTAATGTCAAGGACAAAGATAGACCAGAGGACAGACAGGGAGCAGTATACAAGATCAAATGCTGCGACTGCCAGGCCACTCACATTGGTAGATACCGTAGTATGTGACTGACTGAACACCATTTACAGACGAAGCATCAAATCGACTGGGACTCTGCGACATGCTTAACGTGTTTTACAGTTTTTTATCAACGACTTACCAGTATTTTAGAAAGCTGGTTTACTAACTTTGAAGAAAATGCCACTGAATTCCAGTCAACATTTACCAGCACTGTACAAACGACTTATTGACAGATCGACTCAAGCAAAGCTGATAACAACAGAATGATTAGACAAGCAACAACTTGAACTGACTATTCAACTGTGACCAATAGATGCTGCAATTCATTCTGACTTAATTGACCAATCAGGTCATTAACCAGAGTTTAATTTCTGACATGATACAACTCTTTGAAACTGAAGATGACTACTACACAGGTTGTGGAAATGTACAACCATCCTATTCTATGCCAAGGAGAGTTTTCTGCCAGCCCCCGCACTACCTCCGTCCTTATCGCTCTCAGTAGATATCAACTTAGTTTGCAACACCATGCAGGCAGTGCAAATTTACCCTCTGACTTTGCCAGTCAAAACACTTCTACCTGAAAAGTGCCGCTTTGTGTCATCTGCTCCTTCATTCTCCAAACTGAGAATTCTGTCGTCATACTCAATGTGTTTGTCAAAGACATATTAGAGAATGGCAGGCGTCTACTTTTAACCATCAGGCCTGACTTATGCTGCATCTGCGCCCACTTGAAACGACCACCGTCCATCAGACGTAAAGCAGTATCTGAACATCGCTTTGATTTCTATCGATGGTTAGTCTTACAACGTCAGCAACTACTGTCGCCCCCACTGAATTGATTGTGGTACCATGGTACATTCTTGATGGATTTCTTATCGCCCTCCAAAGCAAGTTTCACCACCCTTCAAAGCACCGCCATCACTTGCGTGTCAGATTCCTGCCATACCTGTGCCTCTAAAAGTTCCAACACACCCTCACCAACCAGTCATCAGGTGATCCACATGAAGTTGTAGGTGTGTCATTTGCAGCCGATGTCTCCATCCTGCTTGAGAGAATGCACAACCTTCCTCACTGCATCATGCATAGTACCTGATGATAAAAGTGACACTTCTTTGTGACACCCTTGCCTGACTGGTCATAGGCTTATAC